AGAGAGAGAGAGAGAGAGAGAGAGAGAGAGAGAGAGAGAGAGAGAGAGAGAGAGAGAGAGAGAGAGAGAGAGAGCTGAGGTTGATGGGCGCGGAGCTGTAATTCTCTTTGAAATTTTCTTTGTCCTTTTTCTTACTTCTGTATATAAGTTTTGATTTCGGCTCGGGCAATTCGCCCTTATTTTCTTTCGGCATCTTTGTGTCTAGATCCCTCCTTTCTTTTTGGATGAGCAAGTTTTGATGAAATGATGTGTTTGTCGTTTTGCCTAACCATCATCCTTGCTTGCCACTTTGATCTACTATCATCACGGTATGAGTTCTGATGTTGTTGCGATGTCTGATGTGTGTGATGCCACCTTGCATACTCGAAAATGATTGTTTGGGGGATCATCGAGTGATTAGACGATTGGACAGTTATCAATGACACATGGCGATTTTGCATGCAGAATTAAACTCTCACTTTTGCGTCAGCCAAAAGGCCCGGGTACGAGCGAACACCTCGTGGGGATACGTGTAAGCGCGAGCTGATTTGCGCAGCCAACACGTGTCCACGCGCGGTGATTCGTGATGACTGGCGAGCTTGGCACCTCCAGTAACGGGATAGGCGAGGGATTTCCTTCTTGCAAGCACCTGGGCTGGTAGGAACTTTCGACACCATGATACCCGAAAATTCCTTCGTCAATCCGATGCGTGCGGAAGGTTTTCACCATGATACCGCTATGACAAGATGACATATATACGGGACCCAGGTACTTAGAGCACTGGGAGGGAGAATATCTTAGACTGAGGTATCCCGAATTTCCCTGTCTAACCGAAAACCGACTGCGGGCCAGGGACTTTCGCTGTGCCGTAACCAGCGATCCAATGTGGCCCGACTACCCGACCACTTATAACACACAATATTTCGTATCCCCCGGCTTCGTCGATATCACCACAAATTTCCCTCCCTTCCATCTCCTCCTCCCATACCACCAACTCACGGTGGTGTCGTGGAATTCCATCGCCCTGTATTGGCCCCACACACCGTGCAGAAACTGCAGGCGACGGGGCAACCGCCGATCCTTCGGGACTACGGAGCCTGACTATAACACTTGACGACAATCGGCACGTGTCCACGCCCGAAGGGCCGACCCATAGAACTCGCAAGTCACACAACGGGCCCCTTTCGGACCGCCGTCACTCAAACGGGCGGATCAGACGACCGGAGATACACCGCGCATACCATCTACCTTATGCTGCACAACACTGACTGCCATCAGACAGACATAACCCGTCCCTTAGCTTTATTACCCCTATGCCCCTGAAACCCTGTCATAGGAGATCTCAGTTCTGACCTGGGACTCCACCCCCACTTTCCCAAAAATCTTTGGTACACCCCTTTTTCACACTTCCAGGCCCACATCCCACTTCGATGAGGATGTCGTGTCGGGCGTGAGGTTGGTATCGGAGCTCGACACGTGACAGGGTTTTATGATTCGTAGGTCGATAACGAAGATCGAAGCGATCTAGCTAACAGAGGGCGACCTCGACCTCGGAACTAGCATCGACGCGACCCCGTCGTTACAAAAGCCGGTCTGCAGCTCGACGGGCAGCCAATAAGATCGCTAATCAACAGAACCCGAACCCGCAACAGAACCCCAATCAGCAGCCGAATCCTAATCAACCCGCACCACGAGCACGGGCATCCATGACCCCACCCGACCTCTATCTGTTCGATCCTGGTCATCACCTTGCTGGAGCGTGGTTGGCCACGCTCCGAGCTCAGCAATACGATGACAATGAAGCACAGGTGAACATTCCCGCTCGATTTGGGGGGGACGCTCATCATTGGCTCAACACCTATGTATGGATAGATCTCCCGACATTCGAGCGAGACTTTCTAAACCGATTTGATTATATTCACCCAGAACAAACCCTTTTTATGATTAAAGATCAAGTTCAAAAACCCCTCGAGTGTGTCACCGAGTACCGAAACCGGTTCTACCGAATGTTTGTAAAGACCGAACGAGACAAACAAGTAGGAAGGGATTTGTTTATTGCCGAGCTTCGCAGCAGAGCGATGAGGGCGAAACTGCGAAAACAATTCTCCCCCATCAATCACACGCTGCAACAGATCATGGCAGCCGCAGAAGAGATGAAATGAAAGTTCGCTGCAAGTTTCCTAGAAGGGGAAGATTATCCTAGGGAGGGAGACTCGTCCTAACTAGCAAGAGCCAAAGTTGAGCTGGCTGCGTTACAAAATAAGTTTGAAAACATGGGGTTTGTGTCTGGCCCTGTCACTTATCTGGAACAGATTACCCCCAAACGACCAGCCCCGAGCATAATTATAAGCATGCCCGTTCCCGTGATGACGGCACCCCCACCCCCGATCGAATGTCCCGTACGACCAAATGAATCTACCGTCTTATTAGAATTGACCAAAACATTGGTCCATCTGATTCAGGAAAGCAAAAAGGAACAACGGGAACACAATGCCCAAATAGAGGCAATGATGAGGTCGATGCGACCAATTGCAGTACGAGTAGCCCCGATGCAGCAAGGGCTGGCTCCAGCACCCGCTCTGGGAGGAGCCGTCGACAATTCGAACGTCTGTTACACGTATCATCAACCAGGGCAAATAGCCCGAGATTGCCCCCATCGACCCCCGCAACCACGAGTCGGGGCTGCACCGGTAGCAGCAACTCCAATCGCCAACGGACCTGGACGAGTAGGGGCGCTGAAGCGCGCTAGCTACAACGGAAGAGGCCGCTGAGCTTATTCCGTTGGATCAGTATGTAACACTTGGTTATCCGGGACTTGGGATGATCGGAACGATTAGATCCGCGCCAGAACAGAGGGAAGTGGCGGAGTGTCGACCTTCCCTAGGGGAAATGGAGACGGGAGGACCCACCTTCGTCATCGGGGAAATTGATGTTCTAAACATCGTGCGAGCTTTAGATCATCGGATTCCTCTTCCAATCGGTCATCTGCTATCAATATCGGAACAGGCCAATGAACGCATGTTGCAACATTGCAAAGAGGATCGAAAACAATTCGCCCTCGCCCGGACATCGAACACGAAAGCAAAAAGTCCAACAGAAGACGAAAACGTTGTTGGTGCTTCAGACCCAATACGGTTAGGATTGATACAGAACGACGATCACTTCCTACGGATTAAACCAATCCCATGGAAATCCGCAAAATGCGATATCGAGGTATGGGGAATCCCGTACAATACCATTATCGATTATGGAGCCGCTGTTTTGGCTATCTCATTACGGGTAGTTGAAAGGGCATGAAGAAAAAACGATCTAATTATGCTTGCGGAAAAAGAGCATCTCGTTTCAGCACATCAAGAGAAGATTAAAACGATAGGGCGGATGACCAATGTTGTCTTTCGATTAGGGAAGGTGTATGCTCTGGGAGATGTCGTAGTCCTAGATGTGAACACTTACGACGCCCTTCTTGGCCTTCCCGCTCTTGTGGCCTTGCGAACCAACCTAGACTTCGAGAGGCGATCGATTGTCCTCTGAAATACAGGAGGAAAGCCCTATGTTGTACCTATGAGGGTGACCCTCCGTACCACCGCTAACGTGACCCCACGAGTTTCCCCAATAATGACGGGAACTCTTCGTGTGATCACCTGGGACAACTCCGCAGACGGCGAGCAATCATCGAAGGATGCGGACAGCAGTGATGAGGACGATCCAATAATTCTGGAACTGGCGCGTCAATGTATCTGTTACCCTATGCAACAAGCGAACGCGAGACCATTGAGCCTGACTGATCGAAATCTACAAAGAACACAAGCGATGATTTTAGGCGAACCTCTCGTACCTATATCAAGGATGGCCGATTCCTTGGAACCCCCTCGAACCTTGTACGAGGGTATGTCCCCTCTCCTCGCACGATATAATGATAAAAGACACTTCTGCGACATCACAAATCTCCCACAATTTCTTCTGCCACCTGCAAAAGAGATACGATTGTTCCGCTTAGAGGCGGAGGCCAATTCTTTGGAACCCCCTGAGCGCCTCGAGATCAGAATCGCAACGAAACCCGTACCATGGCAGGATATTCGTGACGGAGTAACGCCGGAAGAATACGTGGTCATTCAGGAATAGGATGCGCAAATGATGGCTACGGTATTTTCCTGGCGATCGGACAATTCCTTCATTTCCGCACCCCCGCCTGAACCCACCAAAAGGATAAACACGAAGCACATCGATGTACATATATGAGATCAATCATACGAACTACATGTACCCCATCTGTGTGTCCGATTTTGGATTCAACGCGGGTTCCGCGTTGAATTATTGAACGCGCATTGAATTCGCGTTCAACTCCCGTTCAAACGCACGTTGGACGGGGAAAAACGGGGTCCGCAATGATTGTTTTCCTAGGCAAAACATAATCGGAAAAAAAAATAAAAAACAATGGGGTCGTAGATCTTTTCGAGGTCTACGACCCCATATTTTTATTTTTATTTTTTTAGCTTTTAATATATTTTTAAAAAATCAAAAACATAAGCACAATAAAAAAAACAAAAACAAGAAATGACATGAGTCTTTTTTTTTTGGGTTTCACAAAGATTTTTTAAGGGCTAAAAGAAAAATAGAAAAAAAAATTAAAAAATATAGGGTTGTAGATCTTTCAAAGATGTACAACAAATTTTTTTATTTTTATTTTTTATAACTTCGTGTATTTTTAAAAATATCAAAACCATAAACAACATTTTTTTTGGCCTGCATTGCTTAGGGAATCTTGCTGGGTAGACTCCCTGCTGGGTAGACTCCCTGATTTGGCCTGCTTCGTTCACTGTTGTTGCAACCACCACCATCAGATCGTTTGTGATCTGATGGCTGGGAAGTACTGTGYCGTGATTTCCAGTGGGAGGTCTCTGTTTTTTTTGTTTTTTTTTTTGCCTTTTTCCTGTTTTCTCAACCCAGAAACTCGTAATGAACCTGTCAGGCCGCTGCCACTCAGTGTCACACTGGATCGRCCACACTCCAATCCGTCTGCTAATGGGACCATGCCCCTGAGGCGAGGTCCCATTAGCAGTCAGATAGGAGTGTGGCCGATCCAGTGTGACACTGAGTGGCAGCAGCCAGACAGGTTCATTACGAATTTCTGGGCTGAGAAACAGAAAAAAGGCCAAAAAAAAAAAAGAAACAGAGACCTCCCACCGGAAATCACGGCAGAGTGTTTCCCAGCCCTCAGATCACAAATGATCTGAAGATGGCGGTTGCAAAAACAGTGAACGAAGTAACCGCCACATTTTCTTGGAACAAAATTGACTTCTGTCAGAAGTGATCCTGACACCCTCCATATACCCCATGATTGAAGGAGGGTTGCACCCAATGAGATAATTGCACAACAGCAAGTAAAATGTTGAATATCTTCTATCCAGTGGGCTAAGGCCGACCCCAACCTCATTTGGGGTTGGCCACACCCCCAACCGATTGAAAAGATTCAGTCAAGAAGCTTTCTTTGCACTGACCGTGGGATCACGAGTACTGCATGGCAGGATTTGGGTCACTCAACTGCCCCACAAACTCGTTTCTAGCCTATCCCGTTGCTAGTGGGACCTCGCCCCTGGTGCTTGTCATTGCTGTCTGGTCGAAGTTGCCCTCAATATTGGTAGGGTGATGGTCCTGAGTGCTGGTCACACTGAGGTAGGATAGTAGGGACAGGGGGTCTGGTCCTTGGCCTCTACAAGACCCTGGGCTTTCAAAAAAAAAAAAAAAAAAAAAGAATGGATCTTCTGCTAGAACGTGAAATAATGTATCGCCATATGTTTTGTCTTTTGTGCATGTGGTGAGTAGAGGCCCTTAGGGCCACTGCACGTATTCCTAAAATAAGAAAAACGAGAAAAAACAGAAGAAAAATCAGAAAACAAAAGAAAAACGAAAAAACAAAAAAAAAAAGAGAAACAAAAAAAAAAACGAGAAAACAGAGAAATAGTAACCCATAACTTTGCTGCACAGRCTGCCACAGACTTGAATTCGAATCCAGACTATATATTCTCAGGCCACAAAGGCAGTCTCCAAGTCTTTGCTGCACGAAGGGTCCTTGCTAATCCGTAGGGACCCTTTGGAATGAGACTGTCCGACCAGATTGCAGCATTTGTAAAAAAAAAAAAAAAAAAAAAAAAAGGAGGACTTGCACCCACATGCACACACATGTGCTCACAGTCTTGGGGTATGGGGTGACCCTTACTTTTTACCCTCTTGCAGTTTGAATTTCGGGAGGGAGGGGAACGTTTGGCCACCCCACCCTGTTATTCGGGGTCAATTTTTTTTTTTTCTTCTTGTTTTTAGTTTTTGGGCGCGTAGGGCCACGTGTCTGAGGCCCAACGCGCCGGTTCCGTTTTTCAAAATTGAACGAAACACCCCCGTTTTTGCGTTAAACGCGATTTAACGGGGCCCCCGGGCCCTTTGAACGGGTTCAACGGCGTTGAATTTCGCCCGTTCTCCGTTCATAGGACACACAGTACCCGATTATGTACCCGACGAGATTCATCACCTAATCGAAGACATTCTGAATGAATACCAAGGAGCGATTAGCATGACAGACAAGGATATCAGACTGTCGTTGGTCATATAGCACGAGATTCAGACTGGAAACCATCCCCCGATCCATTGTAAGCCCTACAGGTATTCCCTGATAGAACGAAAGACGGCTCTTCAACGGATCCAGGAGTTTGAAGCCAATGGATGGATCGAGCCTGCTACTAGGCCATGGTTATTTCCGGTAGTGTTAGTTTCGAAGAAAAATGGGTCGATTCGCATTTGCATCGACTATCGCAAGTTAAATGATATCACAATTAAAGATGTGTATCCCCTCCCCCAAATTGATGATTTGTTGGATGCGATTAGTGTGCTGACTATTTTAGTAAGTTTCATATTCGTCACGGCTTCCATCATATTCTGGTTAAGGAGGAAGTTCGACCGAAAACGGCCTTCGTATTGTTTGAAGGCACGTGGCAGTGGGTTCGGTGTTCTATGGGGATCTGCAACGCGCCTGCCATATTTCAACGAACGATGAATGTGACGTTCCAAAACTTCATCAACAAGACGCGGCTGACTCAGGGAATGATTAACTTTTGCGTCATCGTGTCCATGGACGACATACTGGTCTACTCGGAGACCTGTCACGGACATACGCAACACATCGAGTGGACGCTAGGCGCTCCGAGAGATGCTGGGTTCAAGATCGCGCTCGAGAAGAGTGAATTTTTTCTCTCGGAAATCTCGTTCTTGGGCTACGTGGTGACATGCGGAGGGTTGCGGCAGGATTCGAGAAAGGTCGTGGCGATAAAAGACGCCCCTGTTCCCACGTCGTTAACGCAGGTTCGAGCTTTTTTGGGACTAGCATTGTACTACCGTCGTTTCATCAAGGGCTTTGCCGTGATAGCACGGCCCCTGACGAACTTGCTACAGAAGGACCAGCCTTTCAGCTGGGACGCCGAGTGCGAGCAAGCCTTCGCCACCCTCAAGGACGCCCTGGCGACAGTGCCTATTTGATCCGGCCGGACCCTACGAAGCAGTTTATTCTCATCACGGACTGGGAGTCGAAGGCCATTTCCGCCATTGTAGCGCAAAAGGGGAGCGACGGTCGTGAACACGTCATCGAATACTCGTCTCGTACGGTGCCAGATGAGCGGAGGAATGATTGGGCCCCGCAAGGCGAATGTTACGTCGTGGTCTGGGGAATCCAGCACTTCCGTCCGTATCTTTACGAACAAAAGTTTCTTTTGGTGACTGATCACGAGCCGCTGCTTGCGCTGAAGAGGCTCACTAATTACATGGGTATGATTGGGCGCTGGGCGGTGCGCCTACAGGAGTACGATTTCGACATCATCCATCGAAAGACAGAGAGGCACGGGAACGCGGACGGACTGACACATCTGCAGCGACCAGCTAAGGTACCTAAAGGTGAAGAAATCATCCCCTGGAAGGAACCGGAATCGGCAAACGGGCCCAAGTACGGACAAGTGGCAGTTCTCCCATGTGGCAAGAAGCAGGCACGTGGCAATGGGTGACGGAGGTAATCCTACAATACCTCGCTCCCCCCTCTCCCCGTCATCTCTTCTCTCTCTTCCCGACAAATTTTGCTATTTTTGCGAAGCCATTTCACGCGTTTATTCCGTCCCTATGCATCCTATTGGGGAAGGATACGTCAAGTGGGTAGATTGTCGGCAGTGTGTCGCACGAACCCATGGCTCGTGCATCCAGTACAGAAATTGCGATAAACCTTGGCTGTGCCCCTTGTGTCGGGTCGATAAGATCCCGACCGAGGCCCGGTTTCTTGACGCCACGTCAGAAGGGTTAGAAAAGACCCAAAAGTTTAAAAGGGTCGAAGTATGGACGGATATTGCCCTAATCGCCACCTTGGTAGGTAACCCCCTCCAGGACTTCACTAAGGACGACCGGAGAAAGGCCAATGAAAGGGCTCGGGACTATCGCTGGAACGGGGGTCGGTTAGAAAAACGGAAGACGGATGGTAGTGGAATCTGGATGGTAGTACCGCACCCATTCATGAGGTATGACTGGGTGAAGATAGCGCATGAGGAAACTGTAGCCCATTTTGCCGTACGAATCACGAAAGCGGCAATTGACAAAAATGAGTGGTATTGGTCCAATATTCGTGACGATGTGAAATTCATCGTCGCGAATTGTCAGGTCTACATCACTAACAAGGCGCCGATTCAGCTGCCCAGATCGATAGTGCCGACGGTAGTTGAACGGCCTTTTCAGAGGGTTAGTATGGATACTACCGATATTGTGGTGCCACTTGGACCTAATAGCTGTGAGTATTCAATCCTACTGCTGTTTGTAGACCATTTCTCGAAATGGATTGAGGCATATCCGTGTCGTACACGACAGGCGGCTGAAATTGCGCGATACGTCAACCGTTTTTTAGGAATGCACCAGGACACAGAGGAAATCCTAACCGATAATGGGGTAGAATTCAGAGGGGAAGTTTTGAGGAACCTTGTCATACACGGCGTCGCCATTCGGAATACCGCACCCCACATGTTACAGTCTAACGGACTGGTAGAAAACGCGAATAGGGTGATAAAGACAGCGTTGCGACGAAACATCGCAGTACGGGACCCGAGACCCTGGCCCGATATCGTAGATCATATCCTGGCGGTCCACCGAGGAATACCCCATGAATCGACGGACCTGAGCACCTTTCAATTACGAACCAATAGTGTGGCCTGCGTTTCAATACCGAGCCTCCCAGATGAATCCTCGTTGAACCGGCGGCCCACAAGGGCCACGGTTCGGGGCAAGGCCAAGCGACACTTAGAGCTGACGGAGCGGTCCCTTCCCCGATTAGCCCGAAAATGCCAACGGATGACCGAATTGGCCCAAGGCCGACAGGTCCGTAGCTACGAGGCTCGGAATGGGAATGCGGGACCACGGCCCCAATATAAATTAGGGGACGTCATGCAGGTAAGGACATGTGCTCGCCAGGGTAAGCTAGCGGCACGATTCTTCGGGCGATTTCGCGTAGTCGAGCTCGGACCGAACGGCGTGAACACCGTGCGGTTCGTGCCTGAGGTCTCCGGCAGCCGATCGGCTTGACCGATCACTCGCCACGTGTCATACCTACGGCCTCTTCCCTCCCCTTTGTCTCCACCTTCGTATGTCTCCTCCTCCGCTGCGGAAGAGGATGATGACTGCTTATCGCCCGCTTCTCACCGAACGAGTTCTCGGCGAGCACCTGTTGGCGCCACGTGACGACATTTCGGCGATCAGACAAGTCCATCACCCGTGGTTCAGTCCGGATCTTCTACGCTTCGCACAGTTCTTCAATACCTCGGGAGTGTACGTGGCGGCGGAATTTCGTTTTGCGGCTCATAGCCAAGCACTCGTATTGGCCGAGGCATCGACGTATCAGCGGCTTTCAATACCGGGAGTCAGCCACGTGTCCACCATTGTCGTCTTCAGCGGAGATATCAGCACGGTGGACCCGCTACGGCATACGGCCATCCGGGTATCACTGAGGAAGTGGGGTGAGCAGATGGCGGCGGAGTGGAGCCAGTGGCTTGCGCGGCACGGAGACAATCTTGTCGTCACCGACAGTATCGACGCCGACGGGCTTCGCACGTCCCGACGCGAGCCAGCGGTGGTGATTCCGGAACTCGTTCCTTTTCGGCGTCCTCAATGAACCGGTCCCAGATCTCGACCTTCGCGCTTCCCTCTCTCTTCCCTACCTTTTGGCAATCCAGTTTCTATCCCCGTCTCTCCTTCTGCTTAAAGCCCAATGACATCGCCGTTCCCCTCATCAATCCGAGACAGCGGTACTGTGGTGTGAGCACTACCTCACTCTTTCCCTGTGCCTGGTCGAAGTGGAACTGACGTGGACACGAGACAGCGAACACCGTGCCGCGAGGGAGGGCGTACAGCTGGTAATTGTCCAGACCTTGAGAACGGAGGTAGAAGGAGATCTCCTTGGATTCGTCTTCGGAGCAGTAGAGCCAGGCCATCGCCAGACGATCGTGTGGGAACTCACGATCCCTCTTACGCAGCTCGTCAACAACCTCCCCCTCGACATCATATCGCAGTGTGATGAGAGCCCAGTGCCGCACGTCCTTCCGCGGAGATTAACGCCATACCTGCAGTGGTCAGCTTGCTTAAAGGATCGAACGGGAGGTGGCAGTTACCCATCGCGCGCAGAGTACCTGAACCCCCGGGGGATCATCGACGTCCTCTTCTTTTTGCCCCGAACGGCGGTAGAAGAAAGAGCCGTGGCGGAGGAAGCAGAGCTGGAAGACGAAAGCGAGGAGGAGACCTCGAAAGAAGCAGAGAGCTACAACAAATACCGCAAGAAGGAATCAGGCGAAGACGAAGAAGAAGAAGAAGAAGATCAATTGGAGGAGTCTGAGTGGGAGACTCTGGGTGAAGAGGCAGATCGCGCAGAGACTCAAGAGGAGGATCCCGAGGCGGCAGCACGACGGAGAGAAGAAATCGCGGCCGGGAAGCAGCCGCTGGAGTACGCGAGCGGCGCGGATCTGCAGATCCCGAACGACCAACCAGGGATCCCGAGGCGCCCAAGAACGACGATGGGGACCCTACTGCCGAGACTTCAAGCGCACCGGCGTGCAGGCGACGGAGCCGATCCCGATCCCCATCCCCCCGTCCCCCAGTTCGAGCACGTGTCGATGCAGGGCATCGGGCTTCGTCCATTACCTCACCCTCCGCCAGATTACCATCCCTGACTCTTTCCCCCACAACCCCTTCCCTACTGCCACCTTCCGCCACTTCTATGCCACCAACCTCGCTGTCACGATACATCCGCATGCCTCTACTCGGAGCGCCACCCCTGTCGTTTGTCTCCATGTCCTTCTTTTCAGTGCCGCGTGGCGAGGCCACAACATGATCGAGGTTTATTGTGTGATCACAGGGACTATCCCCGCGTGCGAAAACCATGATCAGTTCCGGACGGCCCTCCTTCACACCTTCACAACCCTCTATCCCGACTACCTTGCGTCTCTCCCCCATGGCGGTACCCGCTTCCCCCGATTTCATCGGATCGTAGATCTGGGGAATCTCTTTGGGGAGCCATTTCCAGCCGTCAATCGGGGGCTGTCACCAGTAGAGCGCTGGCCGCAGCTGGGGCGGTCGGCACTGCCTTGTATGGGCCTGTAACCTAGCATGTTGGGGGTGTGAGGCCTGGTAGAGGCCTGGTTCTGAAGTCTGAAGAACACCACAGCTTTGGTAGGCTTTGCTTTGGTCTGTTCAGTATCACCTGGAATTTAGGTATTCGGTATGTTTCCCGTGGACGAGGTTTCTTTGAATACTTCAGTAGTCCATGATTTCTCATTAATATTTCTGTATGCCCCATCTCCGGAATGCCTCTGTAGTTCCTCCAGGTTTTTGTCTTATTCTTACCAGAAGCCAGGTAGTGTATCTTAAAGCACCAGTGCAAAAAAAAATAATAATAAAAATAAAATAAAAAAAATCAACAGCACCCCCGCGCCGCGTGGCCCCTCAGAGTTTTGCTTGTGACGACAAAAACTTTCTGCAAGGCTGGGGCCGTGTACTTGCCGTTTAAACTCTTTGGTATAAATTTCATACGGGATGCTGGTCCAGGTTCCCAGGACGTGGTGCTTCCCACAAAGAGACTGGAACACCATCCTGTAACCAAAAGGGGAAAAAAAAAAAAAAAAAAAAAACATGAATGGAATGAAGACAGATGTACATTGCAAGTGTAAGGACAGAAAGAGGATGTGGGTTTCTTCGCATCTACAAGACGGAGATCCGAGGCATGGGTTAAAATTGGAACGATATACAGAGAAGATTAGCATGGCCTCTGCACAAGGATGACACACATAAATCGAGAAATGGAAATTGGAGTAGGAATAGAGCGCGATAAGGAGAGCGGAAGCACTCTGTATGTGCACAAGCATATGACACTCTCTGCGTTAGCTACAGCAAGGTACCCAAACTCCACCACTGAGCAATTGGACCAGTGCAACAGAGGTAAATGGATAGCACTGCATCGGAGACAGAAAGCGGATGACAGAAAGTGGTGAACACAGTTCGTATGGAGGAAATTTTCACCGACAAATGCCCCTCTGCAGCAGAATCAAGCCTGCCCAAAATCACAAACCTTCCCCTCAGTGCCATAATGGCAAGGGGGCAGGAGCCATTTCGTCAGCGCGTTCATGCACAGATGGAGAAAACCACTGCAGAAAAGGCAGCCACAAGTTGGCATGTGGCCGTGCGCCAAGCAGAATAACCAGCAGCCTCAACCCACATCCCCCTTTAGCTACTCGAACTGTCAAAACAACTGCTGCGGATCAAGGCAAGAGGCCTCTCGTAGGAGAGAAAACAGAGGGCAAAGCACTTGATCCCCGCGGGAGACCACCTCTCAACTCTGGCAACAACATGCTCAGGCCGTGTGAGGTTGCTGAATCTGACTTCAAATCTCTCTCTCTCTCTCTCTCTCTCTCTCTCTCTCTCTCTCTCTCTCTCTCTC